CCAGCCATCCAGGCCCCCAGCCCCTTCCCCCACCAACCATCCAGGCTCCCAGCCCCTCCCCGTACCAGCCATCCAGGCCTCCAGTTCCTCCCCCCACCAACCTCCAGACCCCGACCCCTCCTCCCACTCCCCACAACCATCCAGGACCCCAAGCCCTTCGCCTCTCCTCCCCCAGAACCATCCAGGCCCTTGTCTCTGCCCTCTAGGAATCTTTCAGGTTCCTGTCTCTACCCTTGCAGAACCTTCTAGACCCCTCTCCCTCCCCAGACACCCAGGGTGGTCCGGACCCCTTCTCTTTAGAGCTGGTCTCTCACTGCGCCCACCCTTCTTCTTCCCCCAGGTCTCCTTTCTGCATCACCCTCCTCCTCGCCCTCCCAGTCTCCCCCCAAGGACCCACCTGGATTCCCCATGGCTCCCCCCAATTTCTTCCTTCCTCCCTCATCTCCACCTGCCTTCCTGACCTTCGCTGGGGTCCTCCGAGCCCCTGGCCGGCCGGTGCCCCCCTCTTCAGCTCCAGGAGGCAGCTGAGAGGGATGGGGGGGGCAGATCTCAGACTCATGCGGAGCGACCTCCCTGCCCTGTTGGGGTCGAGCCTCCTGGAAACTGTGAAAACCTCACTCTGCCCCCCCCCCCCCATCTTCAGGACCAGGATTTGCACAGAGGCACAAGCATCTACCCATAAGCCCCCTCTTCCGAGCAAAGATATCTTCGCGCCCCATGCCCGCGACCCAGGACTCTTACAAACCTTTTATCCTCTGGCACCAGACCCCTGTCTTGAGTTCCGCCCAAATTCCTTCTCCTCTCCCAGAGCTGGTGGAACCAGGGAATCGCCACTCCCCTCCCCCCCTCTACCCAGATGGATGAGGAGGGGCAGATGGGCTGTAGCCAGGCACTGATAACAATGTAAATTATTAGGCATTTTGGTTAGATTTCTTTTGTAATAAACTATTTTTGTACCATACCTGGCTTGGCTGGGCCTCTTGCACGCGGGGCCGCCAAACCCACAGACTCCATGGGTGACCGCGTCCGTCTCCGACCGATGATGACAGGTGTGGCGACTCTGAGATTTCTGGTGCGTTTGTTGTGCTGTGTCACCGCGCCACTGTTTTCTGGGCATGACACAGGGCATGACGTCTTTCCGGGGGACCTTTTTGGATTCCGTAGTGACCCTGGGGGTCTGCAGATGGGCGGGCTTCTGAGGCTTCTGTGTCCCTGTGGTATCACGGCTGACTGTCACGGGACCGATTGTGTCCGGGCCTGTGTGCGTGTGGCGCTGGTGTTTGTAACGTCGAAACCTGTGGTCATTGTGTGACTCCGTGTGGCTGCCTTGCCTCACGTGCCCCTTTTTTTTTTACTCCGTGACCCCAGAGCCCTCCCCCCGCCCTGGCTGCCATGCAGTGTTTGTGTTTTGACTCTGTGGATGTGTCACTTACGTATCACTCAGGGGTTGCATTTGTTTCCTGTCACCACTGTCACAAAACACCACAAATTTAGTGGCTTAAAACACCAGATTTATTCACTCACAGTTCCACAGGTCAGAAGTCCAAGATCAGGGGCGCCTTCGTGGCTCAGTCGGTTCAGCATCCAACTTGGGCTCAGGTCATGATCTCACAGTTCGTGGGTTCAAGCCCTGCGTCGGGCTCTGTGCTGACAGCTCGGAGCCTGGAGCCTGCTTCACATTCTGTCTTCCTCTCTCTCTGCCTCTCCTCCCCTTCGAGCTCTGTATCTCTCTCTTTCTCTCTCTCAAAATAAATAAACATTAAAAAAAAAAACATTTTAATAAAGTAACATCCACAGGGGCGTCTGGGTGACTCAGTCTGTTGAGTGGCCAACTCTTGATTTCAGCTCAGGCCATGATCCCAGGGTCGTGAGATCGAGCCTCAAATCAGGTTCCATGCTAAGTGTGGAGACTGCTTAAGATTCTCTCTCTCTTGGGGCGCCTGGGTGGCTCAGTCAGTTGAGCATCAGACTTCAGCTCAGGTCACAATCTCGCGGTCCATGAGTTCGGGCCCCGCGTCGGGCTCTGGGCTGATGGCTCACAGCCTGGAGCCTGCTTCCGATTCTGTGTCTCCCTCTCTCTCTGCCCCTCCCCCGTTCATGCTCTGTCTCTCTCTGTCTCAAAAATAAATAAACGTTAAAAAAAAGAAAGATTCTCTCTCTCTCCCTCTCTCCACCCCCCCCAAATAAAATATATTTTTAAAAATTTAAAGTGACATCTACAGATTGTAGGGATTAGGACATAGATACCGTTGAGAGCCTTTATTCGGCCGACGCCAGGCGCCCGCTGGAGAAGCAACGTTACTAGAAGGTAGGTATGTGGATAACAGACCTGGCACAGGGATTTGACCATCGGGAAAGGATGGATGTACAGTGGGGACACCAAAGATAGGCTGGAACCCCCAAGGAAGGCCCGTTAGCTTCCTAGGGTTGCTGTGATAAATGGCCACAAACCAGGTGGCACAAAACGACCGAAATTTATTCCCGAAATGTATTCTCTCGCGGTTCTGGAGGCCAGAAGTCTGGAATAAAGTAGGCAGCAGGGCCACACCCCCTCCAAAGGCTCCTTGCCCCTCCCCGCTCCCCGGCCCCCTCCGCCCCCCCCCCCCCGCACTCCTGAGCCTGTGGTCTCTTCCTTCATCTTCGTGGGGCCTCCCCTCCGTGTGTCTGTGTCTTCTCTTCTTTCTCTTCAATTAATTTTTTAAATGTTTATTTATTTCTGAGAGAGAGCGCCAGAGCACAAGAATGGGGGAGGAGCAGAGAGAGGGAGACACAGAATCCAAAGTAGGCTATAGGCTCTAAGCTGTCAACATAGCGCCCGACGCGGGGCTCGAACCCACAGGCCATGAGATCACGACCTGAGCCGAAGTCAGTCTCTTAACCCCCTGCGCCCCCCAGGCGCCCCTCTTCTTCTGTCTCTTGTAAGGATCCTTGACAATGGGTTTAGGGCCCCCCTAGGTAATCCAAGATGGTCTCATCTCAAGAACCTTGCCTTAATTATATCTGCAAAGATCTGCTTGCCAAGTAAGGTCATATTCATGAGTTCCAGGGGTTAGGATGGGGACATATTTTTATGAGGGCCTTGGGGGGGGGGGTTGGCCACCATGCAAGCCACTACAGAGGGTGACCTTGAGCCCTGCCGGCAGCTGTGTGTGAGAACTTCTCATGTGATAATCCCATCACACGTGTAAGGCCTTGTACAATGACTGTCTCTCCAGCAGGGGCTCCTTCCCTGCGGCCGCCCTTCCCAGGGCAGCCAGCACACCGCGGGCCAGGGGGCAGACCCTTGAGAAGTGAGGGGGCAGAATGAATGAGCCTCCCCCACCCCACTCCCACCCCCCTACGTTATGGTTCCCCGCGATTCTTTGTGCCTGCGTGGGACCGGTTGGAAGGTATGAATAGAGACGAAAATATCGGCAGCCCTTTAGTGGCCATGACAGCACCCATACTCCAGACGGGAAAACTAAGACTCAGAGCAAATCTTCCCAAGCCCCGGTCTGCCGCCTCCAAAGCCCATGCTCGTAATCACTGGGCCCCCTTGCCTTGCAGGAAGGTCGTGCACGGTAGCATCTATTATTTTATTTTAATTTAAGGTTTGTTTACTTTTGAGAGAGAGAGCAGAGGAGGGGCAGAGAGGGGGGTGGGGGGACAGAGAATCCGAAGCGGTCTCTGCGTTGACAGCGGAGAGCCCGACGCGGGGAGCGAACTCCCCAGCCGTGACATCACGACCCACGCTGAAATCAGACGCTCAACCGAGTCCGCCAGGCGCCCCGTGTCTGTTTTTAGCTGCACGTGGGACCGTGCGCGCCCCTGCACACGTCGCGTGCTGCTGGAAAGGATGACAAGCAGGGGTGCGAGTGAGACAGCACAGGCCCCGGAGTCAGAACTGAGCTCGAGTCGTGCCCTCCCACCTCCTCGCTGTGTGACCTCAATCAGGGGACTGCAGGGCCCTGCGCCTCAGTTTCCTCATCTGCAGAAAGGGGACGTAATAATAGCGTCCACCTTGCCAGTTTGTCGTGGGGGTCATAGACACGAATGAGTTGTGTGTGGTGCTGAGAGAGAAGTTGATAAACGGGAATTGGTGTGGTCAGCATCTGGGAATTGGTTTTTTTTTTTTTTTTAATTTTTTTTCAACGTTTATTTATTTTTGGGACAGAGAGGGACAGAGCATGAACGGGGGAGGGGCAGAGAGAGAGGGAGACACAGAATCGGAAACAGGCTCCAGGCTCTGAGCCATCAGCCCAGAGCCCGACGCGGGGCTTGAACTCACGGACCGCGAGATCGTGACCTGGCTGAAGTCGGACGCTTAACCGACTGCGCCACCCAGGCGCCCTGGGAATTGGTTTTGAGGGAGGCCAGGCGGAGGAGGAGAGGCCTATTCTTTATCTTGACGGAAAAATTAGATAACGAGGTCCTAGCCTAGATGCGTGTATTAGCTACACTTTTTACTCAGCTTTTCTAACAAAACCTAAAAATAGATAGTGGCTACGGGCACCTGGGTGGCCCAGTCGTTTAAGCCTCCGACTATTGATTGCGGCTCAGGTCCTGATCTCACAGTTTGTGACATCGAGCCCCTCGTGGGGGGCTTGGCTGACAATGTGGAGCCTGCTTGGGATTCTCTCTCTCCCTCTCTCTCTCTCTCTGCCCCTCCCACACTTTCTCTCTCTCTCTCTCTCTCTCTCTCTCTCTCAAAATAAACTTAAAAATATTATTAATAAAAATACATAGCAGCTTAACTAGGATGGAAGTCTATGTTTCTCTCACGTAAAGGTCCAGTGAACACCCAGGGCTAGAATAGTAGCTTGAAAATGTCAGAGACCCAGACTCCTACCTTGCTGCTTGCTGCCTTCACCTCGCACTTCCACCCTGTGGCCCAAGATGGCTGCTCCAGCTCCCACCATCACATCCGCATTCCAACCATTGAGAAGAAAAAAAAAGAAAGTCAACCCAGAAGTTTTACATATCACATTCTATTGCCTAGAATTTGGTCATGGGCCCACAAGGGAGACCAGGAAATGTCATTTTTTTCTGGCCAGCTAAAATTCTGAGGTTCTATTACAAAAGGAAGACGGGAGAACAGTCATCAAGGGGCAGCAAGTGTATCTATCACGCCAGGGCTCTGCTACCAAGTGGCTAACGCGACCGTGGGTGAAATGAGTTTACCGTCCTGAGCCTCAGTATCCTCGTTGGCCAAATGGGATTAACACGCGCCTCTCGGGGTTGAGGAGTTGATCAGGAATTAATGAGAGTGTGGGCACCAGACGTTTAGTACAGGGCCTGGCCCAATATCAGCCTAGAGTGTGTGTCGGGAATCTCCTTGAACTTGTGAGTCCAGGCTGTGGGTGATGTGCCTCTTCATGTGTGAGAAACTCGCCCCAGGTTCAAGAGCTGAACCGGGCATTGACCTTGGTAAGTTACTTCTCTAAAGCAAAGGATCTGGCTTCTCCACACATGGAAATCCCCTCTCAGCCTCCTAACCTTGGGACTGGGCGCGTGTCCTTACACCCCATCCCCCTTCCGCTGGAGAAGGGCAGACTCCCAGGAGGGGGGAGGAGGCCCATATATAGGGTCTCCAGCCCCCCCAGACCTCACAGAACTAAGCCCACATCCCTCAACCACTACCACCAAGACTGCTCGCCTCGTCTGTGACAGTCCTAACATTCTGAAGCCAAAGGTCCTATTTTCAAGTGCATTTCTCGGAGACCCCGACCCCTGCTGCAAAGTTTCACTTGCTGTCACCACCCTGGGTAAATCCAGACCCTCAGTCATGGAACATCTCTTCCAGACGCATGCATGAAATCTTCCAAATCCTAAATGTTGGTGCCGTTCCCAAAAAACAATTTTAGGAGCATGCAAACAAACCCGGACACATCTACTGGTTAGATGTGTTTGCAGACCCTCGTGGAAGCCAAACTGCCATTTTACGGAAAGGGAAACTGAGGCCCAGAGAGCGGGAGGGGGGGG